GGGGAAATAATAAACACGTCACGTTAGGGAAAAAACCCGAATATATTGACACTAAGTTTGAGAAGAGTTTGTTTAATTAAAAAAAAAAAAGTATTAAAGTTACACAATACGTATTTTTTTTTACGCATTCGCTCATGTATCTACCCAAGTAATCAAAACGCAAGCTGACGAGAGCGACGAATTTCTATTGTAGTCTTCTCTGAAGGCACTCGATCGCGCAGCCGGCAGGCGAAGAGGTAACGGGGATCAAGTTCGCCGACTCGTTAAGACATATTGCGCGTCGTGCAGTCTCTACAATGGTGTACGAGGTTCTTTTTGTCGCTTTCACATTTATAGGAATCAACACAAGCAGTGTAAGTACCTCTAACATATCTATATTGGAAATATTGGTTGATATGTATGTTAGGACTGTTTGTTACATCAGTCTTTCATCACCTACATAATTTATATTTCTAACTGGCGCTTCTCAGAACGGAATCGCCATAACGGTTCTCGAAATCTGAGCTGTCATTGTAAACTTAGGAGTAAATCATCCTATTCCAATCGATTGCTTCCGACAAGCTTAATGTTAAAGAGAAGTCTTCATTGTCATGTCAATTGGACTTAGATTTTGCCGGTTTGGCACGCCTTTGAAAATGTGGTAATTAAGGGTACAACTGTTTCAGTATTGTACACAGCAACAACAATCATTTCAGTGAGTTTATTTCTTCACAGCGTTTAACGAAATCGATAAAAAATAATCTCGCTGAACTGATTGCTGTCTCTGTGTGCAATACTGAAACAGTTGTTTCCTTAGTTGGCACATTTTCAAAGGCGTTTTGGATTTTGCCTTTGTCCACAAGAATTAAATTTTCATTCTGAGAGATGAATAGGCACTTTGTCCACTTCGAAACCGAAAGCGGAAGGGTCGTTGTTACGCAAAAGCTTCCTTTGTTTGTAATCGTCATCACGAGTTAGTGACGATTACCACCAAAGATGATCTTCGCTATCTGTAAGCAAACGTGTATTCCATGAAGTCGAAAGCATGAATACTGTAGTAATCGCAAGATAAAAATAGTTATCAACCAAACATACCATCAAAGCTAGAAGACTAATTGAAAGCGAAATATTTGATACCAGAGGAAAACGTAAGGGCAAATATCACAATACTGTTGCCGGCAAATGTAATGTTGTTTTGACTAGACGCTCGATACTTGAGACCTCTGGTACAAAATGTTATTTGCTCAAGGTAAAATAAAATTTCTTCAAATTAAACTGTTTTTATCTCACCGCAAAGCTGTTATTACTTAGTATAAGAATTTGCTTAGGATCGTACCTCCTGAGTGCTATTGTTCGAAGTTTTAAAAGTCACTTTTTAATGAATAAGAATCGATAAAACAATCCAAACTACCAACTGAATTCAAAACTGATGTTTGCTTTTTCTTGATCTTAGAAGCTAGCTAAGCAGGTGTAAACATAGATACGTAGAAAAGGAGCCTCCCCCTCTCCCCTCCCCTCCCTCTTCATCTTTCTCCCCCCCTCTCCTCCCACTCCCCCATTTTGTGCTTTTTGTTCCTTTTTTTTTCCGGTAAACAAAGTGTAATCCAAACTGATTTCTTTGTTGTTGTTCCCCTTCTGTCTTCTTACAGTCGCTTAGCGGTAGTTATCCCAAGTTGTCCAGTCCGTCCTGCAAGAAATGCCCTGCAGGATCTTTTACAGTCTGCTCTCTAAATGAAGAGTCACGATGTGTAAAGTGCGCGGAAGGAACGTACAACGATAAGCCTTCTCGCCGAGGAACATGCAAGCGCTGCACCAGATGTGGTCACAATGAATACAAGTCCCATCCCTGTAATTCAACGTCGAATACCGTTTGTGTAAAATGCAGGGAATGTCCTCCAGGCTTCGGTGTGTTCAGGCCTTGTGAAAAGACTAGAGACACTGATTGTGTTAAGTGTCCAGTTCCCGAGAGCTTCCTCAGCAGTTATGGTAAAGTTGAATGCGGAATTAAAGGTAATAGTTGAATTTCTTTCCAAAGTCAGAACGACTTTTCCTTTTCCTGCAATCAAACGTTCCATAAACGGTGCAAAAAAGACCTAAAATAAGTGCCCTCTTCAGCCTGAAAGGTGTTTTCTGTTGTGAGATGTTACGAGCGGGGGTTGACCCAAGGGCCGTTATGTTGTGTATGCCTACGGAAGG